TTTAATACACCTCTCTCACCACTGGACAACTCTTCCAAACAAAAGTTGAATAAAGGAACTATAGAGCTCAATAACACAATTAATAACTTAGACTTAACTGACATATATAGAATATATCAACTGGCATCAAGCGGACACATTTTCTTCTCAGCAGCATATGGATCCTTCTCAAAAATAGACAATAGACTATGTCACAGGGCAACTCTTAGCAAATATAAAGGAGTAGGGATACTACCATGCATTTTATCAGATCATAATGGAATGAAATTGGAAATCAACGACAAAATAAAGAGTAAAATATCTGTATTACATGGAGGCTGAACAATATGCTACTGAATGAACAATGGGTTACAGAAGACATCAAGGAGGAGATTAAAAAATTATTAGAGGTAAATGAGAACACAGATAGAACATAACGAAATCTCTGGGACACTATGAAATCAGTACTAAGGAAAATTCATTGCATGGAGTTCATTCCTTAAAAGAAGAAAAAGTCAACAAATTAAAAGAACAAAAGAAAAAGAAGAACAAATCAGCAGCAAAAGCAATAGAAGGAAAAAAAAAGCAATAGAAGGCAAGAAATAATTAAAATCAGAGCTGAAATCAAAACAATTGAAAAAATTGACCAAACTAAAAGTTTGTTCTTTGAAAAAATAAATAAAATTGACAGACCCTTAGCCATGCTAATGAAGAGAAGGAGAGAGAGAGAACTCAAATTACCAAGCATAGGTAATGAAAAAGGCAATATCACAACAGACACTACAGAAATACAGAAGATAATTAGAAATTATTTTGAAATCTTATACTTTAATAAAATAGAAGACAGTGAAGGCATCGATAAATTCCTTAAGTCATTTGATCAGCCCAGATTGAGTCAGGAAGATATACACAACTTAAACAGACCAATATCAAGTTAGGAAATAGAAGAAGCCATCAAAAGACTACCAACCAAGAAAAGCCCAGGTCTGGATGGATACACAGCTGAGTTCTACAGAACTAAAACTAAAAGCAGAACTAATACCAATACTCCTTAAATTATTTCATTAAATAGAAAAAGAGGGAACACTTCCAAACTCATTCTATGAGGTTAATATCACCCTGATTCTAAAACCAGACAAAAGCACTTCAAAGAAAGAAAACTATAGACCAATATCTCTAATGAACATACATGCAAAAATTCTCAATAAAATTCTGGCAAATCGAATACAAAAACATCAAAAAGATTGTGCACCATGATCAAGTATGGTTCATCCCAGTGATGCAAGGTTGGTTCAGCATACGGAAATCAATAAATGTAATTCATCACATCAATAGACTTAAAGATAAGAATCATATGATCATCTCAATAGACACAAAAAAGCATTCAACAAAGTACAGCATCCCTTTATGTTCAAAACACTAGAAAAACTAGGGATAACAGGAATATATCTCAACATTGTAAAAGGGTATCTACACAAAGCCTCAGGCCAACATCATTCTAAATGGAGAAAAATTGAAGGCATTCCCTCTAAAATCTGGAACAAGACAGGGATGCCCCCTTTCACCACTTCTACTCAACATAGTTCTTGAAACACTGGCCAGAGCAATTAGACTGATGAAAGAAATTAAAGGGATAAGTATAGGAAAAGAAGAATTAAAACTAGCACTATTTGCTGACAATATGATTCTATACCTAGAAGACCCAAAAAACTCCACCAGAAAACTTCTAGAACTAGTAAATGAATTCAGCAAAGTAGGATATAAAATGAACACCCATAAGTCAAAGTCATTTCTATATGTCAGTGACAGATCCTCTGAGAAGGAAATGAGGAAAACTACCCCATTCACAATATCCTCAAAAAAAAAAAAAAAAAGATACTTGGGAATCAACAAAAGAGGTAAAAGATCTATACAATGAAAACTACAGAACCCTAAAGAGAGAAATCAAAGAAGACCTTAGAAGATGGAACGATCTACCTTGCTCATGGATAGGCAGAATTAATATTGTCAAAATGGCCATACTACCAAAAGCACTATACAGGTTTAATGCAATTCTGATCAAAATCCCAATGGCATTCCTCATAGAAATAGAAAAAGCAATCATGAAATTCATCTGGAAAAATCAGAAACCCAGAATAGCTAAAGCAATTCTAAGCAGGAAGAGTGAAAAAGGTGGTATCGCTATACCAGACTTTAAACTATACTACAGAGCAATAGTAACAAAAACAGCATGGTATTGGCACCAAAACAGGCTAGTAGACCAATGCTAACTGAAGTTAGGCAATCCCCAAAAAACAAATGCCAATTGTTTTCTCTGATGTAAGGAAGGTGACTCATAGGTACAGAATAGAGGACACAGAGACTAACCCACAAAATTACAATTATCTTATATTAGACAAAGGTGCCAAAAACATGCACTTGAGAAAAGATAGCATCTTCAACAAATGGTGCTGGGAAAACTGGAAATCTGTATGCAACAAAATGAAATTAAACCCCTATCTCTCACCATGCAGAAAACTTAACTCAAAATGGATCAAGGACCTAGGAATTAAGCCAGATTTCTGCATCTAATAGAAGAAAATGTAGGCCCTACTTTTCATCATGTGGGATGAGGCCCCAACTTCCTTAATAAGACTCCTATAGCGCAAGAATTAAAATCAAGAATCAATAAATGCAATGGATTCAAACTAAAAAGTTTTTTTTCTCAGCAAAAGAAACAATCTGTGAGGTGAGCAGAGAGCTTACATCCTGGGAGCAAATTTTTACCACTCACGCATCACATAGAGCACTAATCTTTAGGGTATATAAAGAACTCAAAAAGCTAAACACCGAAAAAACAAATAACCCAATCAACAAATGGGCCAAGGATCTGAACAGACACTTCTCAGAAGAGGATATACAATCAATCAACAAATATATGAAAAAATGCTCATCATCTCTAGCAATCAGAGACATGCAAATCAAAACTACTCTAAGATATCATCTCACTCCAGTCAGAATGGCAGCTATTATGAAGACAAACAACAAGTGTTGGCAAGGATGTGGGTAAAAAGGTACAGTCATACATTGCTGGTGGGACTGCAAATTGGAGCAGGGAATTTGGAAAGCAGTATGGAGATTCCTTGGAAGTCTGGGAATGGAACCCCACCATTTGACCCAGCTATTCCTCTCCCTGGTCTATACCCAAAGGACTTAAAAACAGCATATTACAGGGACATAGCCACATCAGTGTTTATAGCAGCAGCACAATTCACAATAGCTAAACTGTGGAGCCAACCTAGATGTCCTTTAGTGGATGAATGGATTAAAAAATGTGGCATATATACACAATGGAATTTTACTCAGCACTAAGAAAGAACAAAATCATCCATTTGCAGATAAATGGATGGTGTTGGAGAAGATAATGCTAACTGAAGTTAGGCAATCCCAAAAAAACAAATGCCAAGTGTTTTCTCTGATGTAAGGAAGGTGACTCATAGGTGGGGTAGTGAGGGGGAGAACATGAGAGGATTAGATTAATTCTAGATAGGGAAGAGGGGTGGGAGAGAAAGGGAGGGGCCAGGGGATTAGCAAGGATGGTGGAATGTGATGGACATCATTATACAAAGTACATGTATGAAGACTTGAATTGGGTGTCAACATACTTTATATACAAACAGAGATACGAAAAATTGTGGTATATATGTGTATTAAGAATTGTAATTCAAAAAGAAAGTACATGTATAAAAGCATAAATTGGCGTGAACATACTTTATGTACAGAGATACGAAAAACTGTACTCTATACGTGTAATAAGAATTGTAATTCATTCCACTGTTGTCATGTATTTAAAAAAATAATAAAATCAATTTAAAAAAGGAATGAGAACTTTGACCTCTAAAAGAAAATAAATAAAATAATTCATGAAATTAAATATATAAATAAAGATGTTGTGTTCAATATAATAAATAATTTTTAAAAATTTAAATGCTATTCACAATAAGAAAAAAAATACCTATAACCAAATACCTAAGAATAAATATAATGAAACATGGATGTATCCAACTTATGTATTTAAAAAATACGGATATTGCTTAGAAAAATTAATGAGTGCTTAAAAGAGAAAACTATACCATGTTCATGATTTTATCTATATATTGTATCTATAAATTAAATGAATCCTAGCCAAAATCCCAGCAAGTCTCTGTAGAAATTAGGAAGTAGATTCTAAAGTTTACATTAGAATATGAAGGAGAATAACCAAGGTAATCTTAAAGGACAATAAGTCTAGAGGACTTGCTTTCAGTACTTTAATCAAGTATTAATTAACACCTACTAACTGCAGCAATTCAGACAATGTGGTATTGGCATAAGTGTAGATAAGTAGACAAATGGAACAGAATAGATTCTAGAAATAGACAAGTGAATGGACACATGATGTGCTACCATTATATATTGAAATTTTATAATGTTTGCTTTTAGAAACTTCACTTTGTATATTGTAAAGTTAATTTTTTCTTTTAAATAATTATTTGGAATGGCAGACTTTTAAACTGAGATGGCATTCATATTCTATCTTGGCTTTTTCTAATCCTTTAATTTTGGTAGTAATTTATCAGTTACAAACATGCGTTTAATTTTCAGTTTTGTTTCGGTTCTTTTAAACAAGTCTTCTGGGACAATATAGAGCAATGAACATTCTTTTGCAGAAGATGGGCAGCCTCACTAGAAGAATTTGACTCTTTTTTCTCCTTAGATTTTTTATTTGCAGCAATTTAGTTATTGATACCAATTTTCTGATTTGGTATTCATAATAATTCTATAATTTGTCACTTTGAGGATATGCGGTAGCATTGTGGTTTATTATCTTTGCAATTTTCAGTAAGAGCTATATGCACTAATTTTTGTTCCTAGTGTTCACTAAAACATTCATCTCTACATTTAAAAGAAAAAAATTGGAATGTAAAATATTCACTATATAGTTTTCTTCAATAGTAAATTATGTAATAACATACTTATTAATCTGTTTTCCTCTTTTCTAGAGAAAATCTCTTCATGAAAACAAATTGAGGAGATTGCAAGAGAAAGTAGAAGTCTTGGAGGCAAAGAAAGAAGAATTAGAAACAGAAAATCAGGTGTTAAATAGGTAATATGTGTGTGTGTGTATATATATATATATATATATATATACATACACACACACCATGTAGTTATTTTGATGTCATAGAACTTTGTTTCTGAGAACATACTGTGTTTTCTTTTAAAATATATATTTAAAAAGATATGTAAAACTATTTGATATCCATGAATGCATTACCTTTTATTTTTCTTTTGGACTGACTTTTCCTTTAAACCAGAAAATTTCAGTGCCAGGTGTTTGAATTATGGTTAAGATTGACATAAAAGGTTAGTCACTGGCTTTGGTATAGTAACTGGCTTTGATATCTAGGAGTGGTGTGAATTCTCAGGAATTCTAGGAGTATGTGAATATCTAGGAGTGTGTGAATTCTGCTAAGCTAACAAAACAATTGTGGCTATTGTATAGGTCTGAAAATCATGGCCATGGCTTTGAATCAAAGGTCAGTTTTTGGTTTCCTAGGGTGGAGAAATATTACTGGGCTATTGCTTCTGATTTTGTAGACACATCCAAGCATAGCTAATAATCAGCATCCTTAGCATTTTTTGGACAGATAAGATTTACTTTACTGGATTGGCATTAGTGGTATTATATTGATTTGGTATTGTATTTAATTCAAGATAATAAAAAAATATTCTGAATTCAGCTAAGTAGTGGTAGCTTTCAGTACTTTAATCAAGTATTAGATTTTTTGTAATGGAAATTGCCTGTAATATCATGCAGTGATGTTTTGTGATATGTGCTGGTGTTCTTTGTTGTAATTTTTAACATAAGGTGAACAACACCACAGTTGGTGATTACTCAAGGTTTCCAGATTGTGGAATTCATGCCAACTTTGTAATACTTTGTTTCAAAGTAGGAAGCCACTAAATTCACCTTCCTACCTCCTTCACAACCATTAATATTGAAGTATTATCAGTTTAAGATTGGACAGCTGTGGTTCAGATCATCTATTCTTTTTGGTACTAGTATTATTTTTTGGTACTAGTGATTGGACCCAAGGTTGTTTTACCTCTGATCTATATCCCCAACCCTTTTTGAAATTTGAGGCAGGGCTTCACTAAGTTTCTGAGACTGGCCTTGAACTTGTGATCTTCCTACTTCAGCCTCCCGAGTTGCTGGGGTAATAGGCATGTGCCACCGTGACTGGCTGATTCAGGACTTGGAGTGGTTTTGAAGCTTTATTTGATTGAACTGGTGTGATTCATAAGGAGTGTCATGTCCAAAAAGATGATAATAATCTGTGGAGACCTAAAAAGTTAGATTTTTTTCCCTCTTATCATTTTTTTTTTAAGTTAGGTTGCTTCACCTTTATAATTACTATAGAAGATAGGGAAAAGCAGTGTTTTGCCTTGTCTCACTCATGTAGTCAACATAACACTCTGACACCAGGTGTATGGAGGTTTTTCCCTTATACTAGTCATTTAACTCTCCAATGGACATCAGTTGGATGGCCTATAATTCAATTCTGACATTATCACGTTGAATCCCCACTGGTTGACAGGTTGACTGTTTCCACTGCAGATGCCAATTACAAATCCCAGGCTGTGACCTATGCTTCTGATGGACAAGCTATAGATCGGTATTCCCATGACCCTATTCTTGGGTTTGATTAATTTGCTAGAGCAGTTCCCAGACCTTAGAAATGCTTTACTTACACTTACCATTTATTATAAAGGATTTTACAAAGGATACAGATGAACAACCAGAAGGAAGAGTATGGGGGAGAGGCATAAGCTTTCATGCCCTGTGTAGGTGCACCAGCCTCTAAGGCACCTCCATGTTCAGCAACCCAGAAGTTCTCCAAACTCTTGCTATTTTGGGTTATTTTATGGCAGCTTCATTATGTGGACATGATTATTTACATTATTGGTCATTGATAATTAATTCAACCTTTAGCTTCTTTCTCTTTCCTGTGGTAAAGGTGAGTTGGAGCTTCAATTTCCAACTCTTGAACTAAGTCTTAATCTTTCTCATTTCCTGCTTTCTTTCTGAAGCATTCTAGGATCCCCAGCCACCAATCATCTCATTATCATAAAAAAGATGCTGTTTTCAGTTCAAGATTCCAAGGGTTTTTAAGGAGCAATGTGCCAAGAGGACTCAGGGATAAACACTAAACACACACACACACACACACACACACACACATATTTTATATTTTTATATTTGTGTGTATATCTTTTAATAATATACCTACATTTTAAAAATTAGGTTGAACTATATGTAATTATTTATATTTGGCCATATTTCACCTAAAAGATGCCAATTTCATAAATTTATCCCTCCTATACTATGAGGTATTTTTGTGGTTTAAAGAATTTCCTTTTTAGTCTCATTATTGATCAGTAGCAGGGGATTGAGGAGACTGTGGAAATGAAGGTAAAAAAAGTCTCAGAATGTTTTAAATCTTTGATTAATTGGCAAATAAAATCTTAAAATTAGTGCTAATAAATATATATAATTAAGATGTCATGTTTATATTTCTAGGTAAGTAGATGTTTATATATTATATACAGATAAATCATAGTTTAGAAATTCTTCTGTTCCAGTTTATATTATGAATTATACTATTTTTCAATAATGTATAACTATTAAAAAACACTTTCTTTTGTTCTATTTAAGACAAAATGTTCCATTTGAAGAATATACAAGGCTTCAAAAAAGACTAAAAGATATACAGAGACGACATAATGAATTTCGAAGTCTAATTTTGGTTCCTAACATGCCTCCAACAGCATCTGTCAATCCTGTTAGCATGCAGTCATCAGCCATGGTTCCAGGCATGGAACTGTCCTTTCCTCCACATATGCAGGTATGAACATTTATTTTAGGAGAAGAGAAAGTCAAACATGTCTATAATGTGTAAACAGAGATAAAACTTATTCACAAAAAATGGCATATCCATTTAAGGCCACTGTTAACTTTTCTTCTTTCATTTATCATAGAAGTGTGCTGAAAAGTAGACTTGAATGTGTTCCATCCCTTTAAAATGATGGTGTTGGGAGTAAAATCTCCTATTGAGCAATAGATAGGAGACTTGATAAATGAGTCTTTGGGCTAGAGTTTGTAGCTCGTTCATTCACTACTACTGAGCATTTACTAATGCAGTGCACTCTGCATCTTCTATACATTTTAACATTAATGAAAAAAACTTTGAGGCAGGTATTATTATTCTCAAATCACAGGTGAAGTACCTGAGTCATAGAAGTGGAATGACTTGCCTAAGGTCATAGCTTAATAAAAAAGTTAAGTTTTAAACCTAAATCCTGTGATTCCAAAACCTGGGCTACTTCTGCTATGTCAGGCCCCTGAGATATTGAAGGAATCAAATTGATTAGCTGGTTTTCAGAAGATGGACATTTAATAAGTAATTATGTTTTATATTGTAAGCATGGAAGATTTTAGCCACTGAACTGAATATCAGACCAAGTGCTTTGTTTATAATAAACAGCTGTTAAAACCAGTCTCATTTGAAAGTTGCCATGTAAATATTCCTGGCCTTGTCTTAGTGTTTCTAATTTCCTCCCTAGTGAATTTTACACCTAGCAAAGAATAGGCTGTGGGTTTTGCTTAAGGGTAGAGCCTGAGGCAGGAGAGAAGCAGTAGTTAATATACTGTTTCACCCATAGTAGTCTGTTTTTAGACTGCTAAAGTGGACATCATTTCCCTGCCAGGTTGTTGCGGGCCTATATAAGAAAGGCAGGCAAGGCTACTGTCCAGCAGGGACTTTTTTTATTTTAATTTTTTTTCCTGACAGTTTCTTTCACTGTGCTTTCCTACATCATTTTTAAGGAGGAACAGCATCAAAGGGAACTCTCGCTACTTCGCAAAAGACTGGAAGAACTAGAAACAACACAAAGAAAACAACTAGAAGAACTAGGATCTCCTGGGGAATGATGTTCTTGGATAAAAGGCAGATCAAAAGGGGTGAAATAAAGAGACTCAATAAAGCATGCAGTTTTAATGTACATGGCATTGATATACTTTATTACTGTTTGCCAAAATACTTAAATGTGCCTCTAGAAAAGGTATCAGCTACATGCTGCATTGCATGATATTCAGATTTTCCGATTATACTGATGACTAATAAAGCATTAAAAGAAAGTTTCAGAGATATTTTACAATATATAATATCTGAATATAAAAATAAATAATAAATAGGGAATCAAGTTTTAAAATTTTCACTTCTCAATTTTTTTGGCATTTTGCCTGAAATGTACCCATCTTGAATTCTTTTTTTTCATCTCTGAGGTGCTTGACAATAAGAACGTCAGTAAACTGCTTTACTAATATACAAGAGTTATAGTTTTTGGAAAAAAGATGACAATTTAAAGGTACATTTTAAAAATCTTTAAAGGTATCTAAATACATATGTTTATTTCAAAAGGCTACCTTTTCTAAAAGCTGTGTACACATAATTTATTAAAGAGCTTAATAAATATTTTTCTACCTAAGTATATTGTTTTGTGTTTGTGTTTAATTTTTTGATCTTAGAGTGTATGTTTAGCAGTTTAGAAGACTTCACTGATTTTGGCTTTGTTGAGTTGGAATCAGTAGATAATTAAATCCTGTGGCTGTTTAAAAAGGCTGTTGATCACATAACTTGAACCCAGTGGGATCTCTCTAGAAGTATTATTATTTAACTTTGTTTTCCATTATTTTGGATCAAATCAAATAATTATGTTTTATTTGTGTGTCCCTAAGTATGTCATTATTTACCTTGTTTTTCACCATGCATCCTTTGGAAGCTTTCTTATGTAACATCTTTTCAAGGAATTCTTCTGGAGTAAATTCATGTCAACAAGGCAAAGCTCAACTCTGCCAAACTAAATGGAGAATTCATTATCCAGAAGTCTTCACAGTTAAAAATCTATGATGATAGTGGAGGATAGGAATGTAATTGAGCAACCCTTAGCATCGTTTAGCAAGAAATTTAAGTTTACTTGTAACTAGAAAATTTAGGAGGAAAAAAAAAAGCCAAAACAGTCCATAATTACATCAAAATGTTTATTTTTGGATATAGACATTTAAAACATTCATCTCCAAGAACAGCTTCAATCAGGTATACAATAAGAAATAGACTTTAAATCCTAATATGGAAAAGATAACAGAATTAATTTTTTAAATGCTGCTGTAGACACTAGTGTTAGAAAAAAAAAGTTTATAAATGAATTGTTTTGCACCAAAAAATATGCAAAGAAACTTAAAAATATTGTTTGCCATTTGTTTCTCTAGTTGCTGTTTAATGTAGACCCAGTGACTGATTGTCTTCAGCACACATCTGATTTGGCCATTTACTGCATTTGGCTAATGTGATCCAAAATGTGATCTAGATAGTGCTCTTCACTGGTGGATTGACAAACACGCTACATACATTAGTGAATCTTCACACCACCTCAGTGAGGTAGGTTAGAAATATTATACAGAAATCGAGGCACAAAGAGGTAAGTGACTTGCCCAAAGTTTCTAACAGCACAGTACCTGGAAGAGGAGGTAACTCTCCACACAGGACTCATGTGCCAGAGCTGGACAGGAACATCCTCGTGTAGCATTTAGTAAGTACTTAGATAAATAAAGCTGTCGCTGATCCTTTGAGTTTTCTGTACCCTGGAGAAGGGAAGTCTTTTGGGCAACTCTCCTACCCTTGGCTCTCAACTCTTACAGTTCTCTTATGAATGCCTTCACCTCTTTGAAGACTGTAGCAGCTTTGGATGGGGACCAGACCTCTCACCTTTAGACCTACAAGTAATCTATTTGGTAGTATTTTTGAGATGTGTCCATTGGACAGACAGTGGTCAAAAGTGATAGGATTGGGAATGTGTGTATCAGGGCAGTAACTGCTTATTTCTCTTAACTGTTTGATGAGGTGTCACCTCTCACAGTTTACCAGATATTAAGGAGCAAATATGAGTTGCGTTTTCCTAATGAATTTACGTTTCAATCCTGATGTTCCATACAGTGTTGGTAAATGGGTTTAAGGAATGTGGGATCAGTGGTTTATTTGCTACTTGAAAAAATTTCTATCCTAGATTAGGGATTTGGAGCACCAAGGGTAAAAGGTGCCTGCCACAAGGAAAGCTTGAGAGTTGCCAATTAACACTTTTTTTTTTTCTGATTTAATAGAAGGAAAACACAGTGGTATTAAAATTGGTCATGAGCAGCAAAAATTCAGGAATAAAAAACTCAGCAATAAAAAGACTACAATATAACTGGAAAGGGAATTGTTTAAAAAGAAAGGCATGAATAAAATGGGTATTTTAAATTCTTTCTCCTGTAAGGAATACTTTCAAAAAGTACATAGTAAGACTAAGATACCAAGTTGTATACTAATATTTTTCAGGCCTTGGGCCTCAAATATATATATTTATATATAATACTCCAGTGTGAACAACAGTTTGATGAAATGCAAAATGTATCTTTTTTTTTTTAATCACACACAAGTATTTATAACCACAGGGTTCACCAGAAATCTAAAGCAAGGAGACACTAGTATAGAAATGTAGGATTAGAGGAGTGACTTACACTTCCACAGATAGTTCTGATCAAGGTTTTTCAACAGAAATAAACAATTTTTTCATTTATATAATACCCAACATGTCCACTATCAAATACATTTAGTATGAAAAGATAAAAAAGGAACATACATTAGGACACAGTGGGTAAAATGCTGTTGCATTTCAGTAAAGCCCACTCACTCTCCTTGCTTTAGAGCTCCTTGATGCAATGGAGGTGAGTTCGGTGGAGTGCAGTTGGTGACCGCTGAAAAACACGAGCCCTTTCAACAATGCTGCAACACTGTTAGTTTTTGGTTTAAACACACACACACACTCACAAATGCTAAGTGTACACACTACCAAATTCTGCGGTCAGCTTTTCCAAGAACTACTAGGGAAAGTTTCAATGCTGCAAATCCTCGAGGTTGCCCTAACACCCCCACCTTGTTTCCAAATGACTCATTTCACATTTTGTTTTGAGTATCCCTTTTCTGCAGAGGTGCAGTGTAGTCACAAGTGCTACATAGCTGTAGTTTTCCAACAAAACCACTTAGATAACATTGTGCTTAAGTGGAGACTGTAATTACAATACTGACACTTGCTTACTGGCCCTGTATTCTCTGTAAACAAGGAGGCTGTTTGCAACAACCACTTCAACTCTATTTACAGAAGGGTTCCCACGGTATACACACAGGCACAGTGGTTGATATGCTTTCTAAAAGCTGTGCATGTGCCTTGGTCTCTTGAAAAGACAGTGCTGAAAGTGGAACCCATGTGCAAACTTAAAAATTAACGACACAGAGTAGCTCAAGCAGCCATTTTGCTCCCAAGTCGTCTGAAGAACTTTGCCAGGTTAAGCCAAGCCCAGAGTGCTTACATCCACTTGCATTTCTTCTTTTCATCAAATAAGACTTTTACATGCAAGAGTTGTTTCTGAGCTTCTTCCAGCCCTCGTTCTCTTTCTAGTTTATTTAGAATCTGTTGACAATTAGAACAGTTATTTTAGATATTATGGTTTTAGCATTACAATTCTTTTTTTTTTTGTTTTTGCATTCCTGATGCTGTGAGTGGGTAAAATCTGTATGAAACAGATGCCAACATTTTCTTCGATCATTTACATACTCACTTTGCAAGTTGTTTTGCTAAGTCATTATCACAGGATCAACAACACTTTGGCTTAAAATAGAAGCCCACAAGAAAATACCAACTATTTGCTTACAAATATGGGGCCAGACTTCCCAGGCCCTACTTTATGCATTATATCACAGCCATTCCAAGCACAGCAAGCATTCCTGGGCAGCCAACATGCAGGCAAGTATTTCTTCTTAAATGCAGCAGGCAGGGGCATCCTAGTCTGAGAGGAAAACTTCCCTCCCGTACCTCCCCTCCTGGGCAGCCTAGTCCCTCCTCTCCCTCCTCTCCCTCCCCTCCCCAGTGCGTCCCTTCTCACCCCTAACCCCTGGAATAAGAGGGATGCTTATCATGTTTAAGGAACTCATTGCCTCTACCCTACCTTAGCGCTTCACTTGATCTTCAAGTAGCAAATGGAATTGGTGAGCTATTCTCACCAGTGACATGGATAGCCTGTCCCAGCATGACTGAGTGGGGGGGAATCAGGGAAGGGGGAATTAACATTTATTTGGAAACAACGCATCCAGATTAAGGAGAACTAATCATAAAGGAGAATGGTAGTTCATTACTAATGGTTGTAAAAAGCCTGAATTAAAACATTTGTTATTGAAATAGTTGCTTAAGTTAGAAATATGTCATAATTTCCTACAACTATTGAATATAGAATCTAGACGATTTAACAGGCTTAGCTTTCGTTTTTAGCAGACTACAATCAAGCTTAAGCTGGCCCCATTTACAGGGCCACAAATTACTCATTAAAGTTAGCTTGAGTCAGTGTGGCTGTAGGCCCCATGAACTCAAATGTAAATTCAGGCTGGTCCAAATGTGGGCAGCGTGATCTATCAGAGGGGCAGCCGTGTGCAGGGTCTGGCTTGGTGCCAGGATCCCCCATCTCAGGCAGGCTTCCTGGCCTCCCTTTCTGGCTGTTTGGGATGCCAGAACTGTCCTGAGACCCACAGAATGCTATAACCAAATCCTTGTGGCTGATTCATAGCTTTAAAAGATGTTAAATAAAATCTTACCTCATCAAAATATTTTACGATGTATTTGTAGATTTCTGTCAAGGCCACTTCTTCATTAAATTCATTTTCGTGTTTCTAAAACAAAGAAAGTCTTGTTGAGAGACTCTGAAATGAGTTTTTTAAAAAGGAACCAAATACAAGCCTATTTCTGTTTCTAATGCTACCTTAGATTCCTGAGTTAAGAATTCTTCCATTTCTAAAGGTGACAATGGAGGCAAATCCCTGATTGCTTTGTAATAAGATTTTACTTCCTCTTTGTAGGTCGGGATATCCTTGGCATAGAGCAGTTTATTAGTTGGTGCTTCCTGAAAAAAAAAAAGAATTCACCACCGAAAGAGTAAAAAAACATGGGGAACTTGTAAAAACGGTACAGTGTAGCTGCACCCCAACCACCAACCAGTATTACACCTAACAAGGCTTCATGCAGGAGGCCTCACTAAATGTTGACTGAGTGACTGACTGCCATCTAGATAGTTCTGGTGAGTCACTGTTATTTTCAGGCGTATTAAATGCTAATATATTCTGCCTTCCTCTCATAAAAGAACTAAAATTATTATTTTTGCATGATTTTGAGTTACTGTAACAATGGAACTTATTTCAATCATAGTTCATTACTAATGGTCGTAAAAAGCCTGAATTAAAAACATTTGCTCTCATCCTCACCCACCAGTGAATTCTGGCATTTATAAAAGACTTGATTGTAGGTCTGATTGAGCCCTTTATATAACTCTAAAACTGGAAAGTAATTGGTGGTGGCAGATTTTCCAGCTTGTCCCTCATTTCATTAGGTTATAAAGATCTTCCAATTCC